AAGAAATGTGGAACATCTATTATTAGGCCATTGATTTTTTTTTTCCCCATCAGGTAAATTTTAAAAGTTAAATAAAACATGACTGTACAAGGAATGGCACACCTAGCTTGATTTCTAAAATATCTTAAACTACTGAAAAAGAAACTGAGGCTCAGGGTTTTAGTGTTTGGTACTCACAATGTCAAGCTCAGGACATTTCAGCCCTCAGGTGCCTAATTAAGGGAGCGAGAAAAATAACTATAACCGGAAAATGTCCCATAAAATTAATCTATATGTTATAAATAAAGATGCACCAGAGAAAATTTAAGAATAGGTCTTAACTTCCTGATAATGAGAAATAGATGATAACTATATAGAGAGAATTTTAGATTTCCTGTTTTGGGGAGCAATAAAGTAAAAGAAATGTGACAGACTACTTTTGTTTATGAGGCTCAGCTGACAGTCATTTTCAGCAGTGTTGCCACTTATGAGAGAAGGCACGTTCTTTAGTCTACTCATGGAAAACAGTTATATAAGAATGACCTGTATTAGATTAGATTTTCTGTTTTAGAGCAGTGCAAATTCAATGTTCACCATCTACCTGAATTTAATTCATAATATGAATGGCTGCAACACACAGAGTGAGAACCTTGATGTGCAGTGTCACCAAACCAGAGCACTCTCTCTTCCATCTTGTATCCAATATAATACCCTGTGTATATCAATTTAATTTTAACTAGTTGCTGTCATCACAAAGCAGCTCTTTCATTTTATGTCAGGATTCCCTAGGCACTCTAGACAAATTGGCTCACACAAAGCTGCTTCATGTGGATTTAACTGGATCATTGTAGTACTGGCATCTCTATTTTTCCTGTGAAGCTTATTCTCACTGAATGAATTTTTTTTTTCTATTCCTTATCTATAGCCACATTTTAGCATTTTGAATTAGCCAAAATCTGTCTCTAAAATAGAGCAATAGTCCCACAGTTATGCACATCTCTCTTTGTGAGATTTTGACTCTTAAATGGCTCAAATAATCCATTTTCTTCCAAAACCCTCTAGCCTATCTAGTGCCCTAGACACCTGCTATTTTTACCCCCTGCAGTAAAAGGCACCAATAAACATGACAGTATGTTAATTCATGTGATCATGTTCATAAAACAACCCTGGTGAAGCCAAGAAGACAAATTTAAGTTGGACTGTCACCACCCATTGTAGATCAGGCTTCAACAGCTGAGACTGCTTTTGCTTAGAGCTCTAGCTCTAGTGGGCTGTGTTAACCTAAATGTTATGGCGGGATGAACACTGCTCATGCAAAATCAATTATTTTTTTTCTTCCTTTCAAATGCTTTCAAGTATACATAGCTTTTCTCACATTCTTGTTTGATAATGAGTTATAATTCCTGTTTTGAGACATCTAAACCTTTTTAAAATTCTGTATTTCACATAAAGTGAAATCATTTTATGTATTTCTATTACCCTAAATAAAAAGCTTATTTTTGCGAGTAATATTCTCTTAAAACCAAGCATTTCTGTTCAAAGGCAAATGTATTTTGTATTTAAAGAAAGCTTCACTAAGATATATTTTTTTAAATTTGTGTATGACCAGCTTGTTTTCTTACTGGGGAGGGATGAAACACCAAGGGCAAACAAGCAGGAATACAGAAATTACATGCACTTAAAGCAAAGCACGAAGAAGGTTAACAGTTGCATATTCTATTCTGAATTAAGGGTCTTCAGTTTTGAGATGTTGTGTATACTAGGCAAAATAAGCATGATCATTAAAGAAGTTTGCTAACATAAGGCAGTATATAATTCAGTGGATGTCAAAATTCAGCATTATGTATCTAAGACTTCCAGTATTTTGAACAAGAAGTTTGCCATGAATGTTTTCAGTCTAGATGGTATTGCTTAGTTGCTGTCTGTGAACACATTCTTCATTTGCTTCAATGTTGTTCTACTGACAGGTCGATGTGTACTCTATCACCTGAATGAGATGCTGCTCTAAGAAGGACACTTTATTTCTATTTCAAGATACTTTCTGTCCCTGTATATCTCTTTCCAGTACTGCATGATATTGATTAACTGCAAAGAAAGCATTCCATATACATGTTTTTTGTATTGTTGTTGTATGGTCCTCGACAGTCTCTGTGGTCTCTTTATCCCTGTTAGTTTTTCCAAAAGACTCAGCATAGAAACAGAAGTAAATCTATGTCCTTCAGTATGACCCAGAGATAATAAGACAACCTTTGGCTCCTGTCTCCCTAAGGGAATACTGCAGGGGGGATATTGAGGAGTGCTTACAACAGCTCTTTCTGTACCTTGCTGTTATTTATGGGTATTTATTCCTGGTAATAAGATGCAGCACATTTGAGAATTAAAAAAATATTCATAAAGTGGCGTGGATGACATCTAGTCGCTTTTCCACAGTGCTAGGACAAATGTTTCATACTAACTGGGGAACTAGAGCATATAATGTTGAGTGAGCATCAGAAGTGATCCAAGTCTCCTGTCCTCAGCAAACTGACACGTGATACACACCTGGAGCATCTCTGAACGTCCTATCCAAGACCAGGCAGAACAAGCAAAGTTAGAGACCCCTCTGCTTGACACACCTTGGCCATTTTCAAGGACATTAGGTTTGCTAGTTTAGGATGTAAGAACATGATTTAAATAGACACTGGTAATGAAGAATTGCCATATACCTTTTCTTTATTGTTTGAAGAAAAAATGCAGATTAAATATATGTGTGCTTGCCATCACTGGGTGAGAAGCACTAAATAAAGCACATGAACACTGAAGGCTTATACATCTGCATGATATGATTTCTTCACTTAATCAGAGGGACTCCATCACTGTGCCAATTCTCTGCATTTGGTTCATACAGCAGGAAGTTTTTAATTTAGCATTCAGCAAGAGTGGGCATAGGAGGGGTGTTTCAGCTCTAATGGGCTGAAATATCGTGCTGCTGCACCTACTTCATGCTAGAATTTTTGCAATGGAAAATACTAAAATAATAATTCACTGCTGTTTTCAGCAGTTTGTTCTTCGTGAACTGCATGTGTGTGGCTAGAAGTTGTTTCTTTTAGTTATTTCTAAGGTCTCCCAATTTTGTTTGCAGAACTAAGATCAAAAATGTTTATATAAATAAAGTTAGCAATTTGGTATGTGAAATTTTGCCTCAGTGTCCTTTGCTGTTAGGTGCTGTTAGGTCACAACAGAGACATGAAAATGGAGGAAAAAAGTATGTTTGCAAGTATTAAAACATTGGATTTGGACCATTTGAGAAAACAGAGCCAACTGTGAAGCTCTTCTGGACTGATTGCAAAAATTTAAAATACTTCTGGTCTTCTCATTTAGTGCTTCTGAAAAGAATAGCATTGTTTTGTCACTGCTGTAGTGATTTTCAACTGTATGCATGTTAAGCAATGAGGTCCCATTAAAATGAGATATCATCTTATATCTGTCATGGGGAAAACTGAGGCCCAGGTCAAGTGTTCTCCTCTTTCCCACTCTGCTTCCCTGAGCTAGCTCAGATTGCTTGCAAAAGTCATCTTTCCTTAAGGATGTAGATGTTGAAAAATACAAGATTATGTTCTTTGCTATTAGCTTGAGCAGCTTTTTCTATTTCCCAGAACTTACTAATTTGCTGTTGTATAGAGGTCATCTTTCTGCCAAATTGCTGAATAATCCAGCAGGGTGCAGGGCCGAGTTCCCTCTTCACAAGCAGAGAGACAAAAGTAAAAGTCATTTCTAGGATGCAGATAAGAAGATTTCGTTCACTTTTGTCACCTCTACATCAAAAAGAAAAGCAAATTGGAGACTATTAAGTGAGGAGCAGCACAAGACATTCACAGACTGAGGACACGGATGTAGGTTGTAAAATAAATAATGGCAAACATATTATTGCTGTTTCCTGATTAAAAGAAGACAGTGGGGGGTTTTGTTGATGCTATTTTGTGTTTTGGTTTGGTTTTCCTTAAATGCATATTGCAACAGCCATTAGATGAGCTGGAAGTAAATTTCTGCAGATGTTGGTCTTTGTTATTCCATTTTAACTCAGGTCATTTCAGCCAAGAATGAAGTTTGAGGCACTACTCACTGACAGAACTTATATGTTTTATCAATATTAGATGACCAGAATTCAAGCAGAGTTATGGCTTTGTTGCATTGTTTAAAGTTGGGCCAATTTCCTTTCTCTGTCTTACTAGAAATAAATATATTAAAAAAAGATCCAGAAAAATAAATATGAAAGTTTATCCACTTGAAAGCCTATAAGTATTTAGAAAGTATACATTAAGAAGTTACAGGAATTGTTATAAATTAAATAGTTTTGTTTAAGTTCATCCTTTTCCCACATGCTTGAATAAAACCATATTATGAATGGGGAGAGCAGAGCTTCAAGGTTGGCACCAACATGCATTGTTATAGGTGCTATTCACATGGTTGCCAACCTTGTGTGATGGAAATTGCCCAAGGCACTGCCATCTCTTTTGTCCTTGTACTATCATTTTAGGTAGGAAACAGCCAAATAGGCCACTTGTGTAGATTATGTAATTTTGTCCCAGTCATAAATAGGATAAACAAAGGAGTTCCTTTTATTCTATTCATGATGACTTTTTCCTTCTGTGTCATTCTGTCTGTGGAGCTTTCATTGCTCATGAGTGGCTTTTTTTACTTTTTTTTCCAAAAATTTTGTTCATTCTTTGTGCCTGTTACGTTTGTGTAGAGTTGCATTGGAATGAAATTCAGACCTCCAATACAACAGAACACACCTTATTATGAAAAACAATTTCTTTCCAGGCACCCCACCATCCTGCATTACCAGGTATTGCACTTCCTTGGTGCTTTTGCTTTTCTTGCAAGAAGGGCTTTAATCCCTGAAGCAGAATCAAACCTGTAGTGTCTAACATGGGATGTTGTCAGACAGAGTCACCTGACTCTGCCTTTGCCCTCCCTTTTGCTTTGCCTGTCTTGGTGCATTTGCAGCACGGCTTGATGCTCTTCCTCTCTCTTTGTAGGGGTATGTGGTTGATGAACATGCAGCCATGCAAGCTCGATGGGAAGAAGCATCTAGAGAAACAATCAAGAAGACAACCAAGCCATGCCCTAACTGCAATATTCCAGTAGAAAAAAATGGTAAGTTTATTAGATATCTTGTACTTACCTGTCTCTTAAAATTAATTTTACAGTATAAACATATGAATGCGCAGGTGTACATATGCATAATATTATTCCAAAAGGGGGAGAGCACAAAAAGCTTGAAGAATTCCCTGTGTCACCTTATCTAAATTATCTTGAAAACACTAACTAAATCACTCAGTTCTAAAACCACTAATTAAGCCTCACAAAATGTCCAGCTATTTTTTAGACAGGGGAAATGGGGCACTGGATGTTGGACTCATATGACTGGATATCCAGCTAGTTATCTAGACTTTCCATTGTCACTGGGAAAAATTGACATTTGTAGGGTAAAACTCATCTCCTGATGAATCAGAACATATGTAGGCTAGAAAATCACACCTAAAAGTGGGGTGTAAAGAATTAGTCCTGCTGTAGATGTCTACACAGTATAAGGCTGAATTTGGGTGAGATTAATCCCAACCCAGCCACATGCCCATGGTAGCAGAGCAAGTTAGAGAAAGCAACAAACAGTTGCATTAATCAGTGCTTACCATGTAGGAAGGAAAGTAATCTGCTGGTAATGGGATGTTTAAAATTAAGAACAGGATTGGTAAATAGGCTGTACTTTATAGGTTAATACTGTTCCAAGACTTAATTGTATTTATGTTAATAAAAATATATTAACATGATTGTCTAAATATTATACAAATACTTAGAGGGTGCTTCCCTGTTTTGCAGCATTCACATGGGACACTGAAAGTACCAAATAAGGCACTATGAACTGCAAGGGGAGAATACTTTTAGCATTGACACTGCAGAAATATTACTGGGGAAGAAATAGGACAAAATTCTGAAATCTGGTGCTTGATGAAAGAAAAGGCAGTTGGCAGATTGAAAGTGGGAGACACCCTCAAGCACAAGAGGCAGAAGGAGATAAAGCTTGAATTGAAGAGTGGGAAGGTGAGGCAAGATTTGGCATAGCGTGGAGAGCAAGGTGGGCAGCAGAAGAGAGAGAACAGAGGCCTAGGTCAAAAATTATTTACAGATTTCTAGAACAGACTGAAAAACAGAATTTTTAATCTGATTAGAAGTAGGCAAATTATAATGGTGACTATTTATATTCAAGAGTTTGTGCACAGCCGAACAAAAACTTGGTTAGCCTTGAAGGAGTAGTAAGACCTTTACTTTCTCTTAGACTCTGAGCACCTACTTTAGTTGCCCTGCTTTGAGCAGAGTTTTGGGTTTGATGTTCTCTTAAGGGACTTTCCCACCTCAGTGATTCTGTCATTTTGCAAATAAAATCATGAAGCTTAAAAAGTGCAGTGCTTGCCTTCTTCTTTGGTCATGGGTACTGCACATGCCAGCTTCTAGGCTGCCATTTGTAAACTTAAAGAAGCGCTTCAGAGCTGCCAAAGTACAGCTGCTGTCAAGAGACTGACAACTGCATCCTGATGTCTGCCAGCAGTCCTTGTTTGGGAAGAGTACACTGACTCCACACAGGAGAATAATTCTGCTTTCCTTCCCTATATTCTGTGGACAGTGTCTTTTACAAGCAACAGTGACAATGACAATAACTTTTCTGTAATGCCCATATAAACTACAGGCATTGTAGAATATTTCTGGATGCCAGTAACTTTCCTGTAATAGCTGAAGTGAAAGAGATAAACACTTTCCCACAGTGAAGGTCCCAGTCTGAGTGAGTTTAGACACCCATCCATGTCTCTCAGAGAGCTGTAGGTCCCATTGCTTGAGGCACTCTCCACTCCTGACTGCTGATTTCAGCTGCCATGTAGTCAGAGAATAACATGATTTATGTAGCTTAGCAGGAAGGGCACATGTTTTACAGAAGCCACCAAATGGGTTTGGGTCCTGCACCAGGACTGAGATGAGTTTTGCCTAGTGATGGCTTAATACAAACTGTAAGAGAGGACTGGAACTAATCTTTAAATAAACTGTAACATGGAGGCTGGCCATTTGTATGTTTACATTTAAATAAGACAAAAATCTTTCTGGCACATTGCATTTCTTACACAAAGATAAAAACTGACAAATAGACCTTGCTATCACAAGTGGTTTTCTGTCTTTGTCAGGTGAAGCAGACAGGCCTATTTTAACAAACCAATCCTTGTTTGTTTTTGCCTTCTGAGAAACATTCTGGAGTGGCATTTTTAAAAACATGGTGTAAGGATAGCAGCTCGTACAGTAGGGAACACGCACTTCCTGTACCCCCCATCACCATTTGGAGTCAAACCAAGATGACATTTCAGCATTTCTTCATAGTGCATGCTCTTCTCTCAGTTTGAATTATACAAAAGATATCTTTGTGTGGCAAGCAACATAATTTCAATTTGAAATGTATTTCTGTAATGACCTTTGACAATGTTAATGTTTATATATTACAAAATAAACCTTTGATCAAGTTTATGAGCAGAGAAATCAAAGCTGCTCTCATGGTATGGAGAAGTAAGAGACCCAACATGCAAAAAACATTTATATGATCAAAAGGCTGCTTCTGATACTAAAAAGGTCAAATCAATTTAAATTACTAATGTCATTTTTGTATAATCAGCAGTCAACCACCAAAGTCTGTATATCCTGATTTACCAACTTTGCAAACCTTGCAAATCTTGGAATCCAAATTCAAAAAAGGATTTGATTTTGTTTATCTTCTGGCTCACAGCTGGGCTAGTGTAGAGTAACCTTGAGAAGGTACCTCCAGGACTGCTTTGAAAGGCTACAGCCTATAATCTCTTTTCCCTATCCCTAACATAGTCTTTTTAAATTTCCTCCTACCCCTGTAGTCCCTCCAGTGAGAAAAGCTCATTAAAGCCCAGCAACAGGGGTAGCAGTATTTAGAAAGCCCAAAGAAATATTCTTCAGGTTTATATTTTTCTTTTATTAAATAATTTACTTAGTTGGTAAATTAGTGTCTGAGAAAGTAGATTTTAATATTCTTAATTGTTGATTAGCATCTGTAAGTATTTTCCAAGTACCAAAGCCATTCTGTTGCTATTTTGCAGGTGGCTGCATGCACATGAAATGTCCTCACCCTCAGTGCAGGTTTGAGTGGTGCTGGAACTGTGGCCTGGAGTGGAACAGAACCTGCATGGGAGATCACTGGTTTGAGTAGCAGGGCTGAGGCCAGTCCGTGTTGCTGCTAAAGCTTGTTTTTATCAGGGTCAAATTGTGAACCACTTGCTTAAACTAAAACCCCAGTTGTTTTAGGGACACAGAGTTCAGAAGTTGGCCTATTTTGTTGGCTTTTGGCTTTATTGCATATGCAATCATACCAAAATCACATTGAAGTTATGCCAAGGCTTTTAAATACACTAAGTTAAAAGAATAATTGTTTTAATGGACAGACTTGCTCATCATGGTACAAAGAGGGGCAAATTACAGCTTTCTGAACTTGCAGAATATCAACATGGAGAGTTGGCAGGGTTACCATGAGGAACCTTAGTTGACATTTATAGTCATGAATCCATAACTCTTGCAAGAGGGAACAACCTGCATATGTGTACGTGTCTGAGGGGGGAAGATGTTCCCTGCATCATCTGCTTTTTTTCTTTGACCACTTCTTCACTCATTCAGTACAACTTTTGATTTCGAGGCAGTATTTCTTAGCAGCATTTTTGGCAGAAGGAAGGCTGTGGCTCTTCAGTGTTTTCTCAGGGTTTCTTCCTAACAGGCTTTCTGCAGGGGTTTTGCTTTAAATGAAATTCTCATGGAAACACCCAGCTTTATGCCATAAATGTGCTTGTGTATTTGTGATATACAACACAAAGCCAGCCTACCTACTCATTACAGACTTTGTTACCATGGGAAGATTAGCTAAGCATGCAGTTTCAGCCCTGTCCATGGTTGGTGCAGTGGTGACTGGATCCAATTATGTGTTGTGCAAGCTACACTCACAGGGCTTCATTTTTCTTGTACTTATGGAATGCTTTGGACGCGGCAAAGTGAAGCAGGAGGGGACTTCTCAGGGCTTTTCTCTACCATGATTCTTCTAAATTGAATTAGAATATGAGTATTATTCTGAAAATATATTTATTGCTCTAATGTTGTGGGGCAGAGGGACAGCTTCATTTTACAATGTTAACACAGTAAGTAAAGTTTAATAGCATTTCCAAGTCTGAACAATTTTATTGTTTGTGATCTTTACATTGATGTTTTACTCTGAAATTAAATGGATAATGTCCACATCCGACACACCATGTAAGGATTTACACAATTTAGTTCTGGGGGGAAAAAACGCACAATAAATAAAGTGGTCAAAATTTTAAACTTTATTTCTTTTTTTTTTTTATTTGAATGCAAAGTATGTGAGTACAAAAATATTGGGTGGGCCATGCATTGCCTTTGCTGATTCAAACTCCCAGCTGAGAGGCTAACCCTTTGATCAAGACATAATGTTAGCACAAAATAAGTTCCACAACCATAGTCTTCTTTTATCAAGTTTGAACTAATATTTTATATAGCATGACTGTAGAGTCCTGAAATATGGGTGGGCCTCATATCAGTGCAGAGCATGAAGTTTGAGGGATGAAAAAAATCCCAGGCTCACTAGAAAACATGTCTAATTGCTAAAAGCAGTGAAATATTAATCTGTCTAAACTGGAAGAGACATTAAAAGTGCAAGGAAACAAAAGAATGAAGGCATGAGGTACCAAAAATAAGAGAGTGAACTGGTAGAATTAAAAAAATGAGGAAAAAAAAGAAGTGGCAATGAGAAGACAATGGGCATTTCCTAAAGGTAATTTTCCTATTTGACACTGCTGAAATGAAATTTGTGCAGGAGTAGCTACAATGAAGTGTAGGAATGCAATTGAATGCCACAATGCCACAAAATACTCATTTAAGTATTTTGCCTTGACAGGGGTATTTTACTGTGAGCTCTGATTATCTCATTATTTGATTTCCTATATTTGGATCTATTTTTCAATGTATATGGCCAGTTTCCAGCAGGCTAGGGAAAAGTAACAATGCTTAATTTTACTTTGATCATGTGTTACATGGGAGTTCATCGCTATATTTCATATTCAAAAACATTCAGAATCAAAGTCTGAATCTCCTTTTTTTTTCTTTTTTAAGTGTCTTTCTCGTATAGGAAGAAGAAGTTATTCACTATAAGTTATTCGCTCGAACTCAGTTTCACTGAGTTAGAGCCTGGCCTAACATATGAATGTCTAAATTGTTACACAGAAACATGTGACTTATTGCCCCTGGATCAGGGTCCATCGAGGTCAATGGACTACAGACCAGCTCCTGTATTTCCTTCTGGCCTGGGAAGGGCATGCCAGGCATGAGTTATAAGGCAAGAATAGAAACACCTCTTTCTTGGAAGAACTTGTCAGAGAACAGGATTATGAGCATTTGTCTGAGACATAAACAAGGACAGGAAAGGAGAATAAAGAAAGGAGTTCCAGCATTGACTCAAGGTTGTATAACACAGTCCAGATTTTGCACTCTGCCAAAAACAAATGTGTTTTCTGAAGAATTTAACAGAACATGTCCTGATCTTCTCTGTATTAGTTCTATATGTGTCCACGCATACATGCACAAACTTTGAAATGGTACAGGGTGTTAATCTGATTCCTCTTTACTCTAAGATTCTCAATAGTTTTCACAATTTGAAGGGCATGAAAATTCAGGTTTAATTCTCTGCTGACATCATAAGAATGCTGGAATTCCTATAGAGATGTGTGAATTGAACCTAAAAATTTTCCTACACTGGTAAACTTTTTTTTGCATGGAAAGTGCCATTTTAAAAATATATTTAAAATGTCTTGGAAAAGTCCAATTTATTTTGCTATTGGAAGCAAAACAGAACAGAACAAATCAACTTTTTGGTGTCTATTCAGACTGCTCCTCTTATTTCAGCTTTGAAATATCAGAGTGAAATTCACCTCACTCAACTTTAGCTCTCTAGTTAGTTCAGTAGCTTCTGAAGGTTGTTGTGCATGTGCATGGTGGAGCCTGCTGAGTTTTTAGTACAATTGCTCATGGCTGTGTGATGGCAACATCCCTGCCAGAGACAAGGCACAGCTCCAGACAGGATGCACAGGACCTGTTCAGTGTGCTCCTGCACAATCTTGGCTCAGCTGCTGCATGAGGAGGGGAATCTTCCTTTTTTTAAGACTTAACAACACTGGCATTGTTTGCTGGCATGCATGAAGCCAGTCTTGGCCAACATTTCCTTGGGGCTGGCACACATTTTTTGAAGTGGTCCTGGGCAGAAGTAGAGGGTTAATAAAGACAAACAGGACTCAAGCATGAAAGAAGGTAACAAACCTGAGGGCTTAGGCAGATGAAAAGTTTTCAAGTTTTTGGGTTTATGTTCTCTTCTAGCAATGCACTCTGGAAACAATGACATTTAACTGTATGTTCTAAGAAGGTGATTTATTGTGGAGTTATAAAGCAAAAAAAAAAGTCTGTACCTTCACATCAAGGTTTGGCTTTGTTAATTGAATTCTCTTTACCTTGAACCTTCTACATCTTTCAGATTAAAACAATTACAGACTTTTTCTTGGTACTGCAATCTGGGATCCTTTAGTGCATGTTAAATGGATTAAGTACAGGATGTATGCTTAAATATTCAATAATAATTATCATTGTAATAATTCAGCTCTGTATTTACAAAGAAAATCTCTAATATTTAATTAGAAATGAAATAAAAATACCAAGTATATTAAAAAGAAAATGCATAACAGTTTGGATTCCTCAGGAAAAAGCATATCTCAAAGTTTAAAGTAAATAATACTTCTGGAACTGTGACTTAGACTAAAATATCATTTATATGTCTGTCTTGTCACAAAACACAAGATAAATTAATTCATTTTAAAGGGTACACTTTAAAGAAAAAACTCAGTAAATGGCACTCCAGAAGAAGCATTATGCCACTGATGGGAAGTAACAGTCAAGCTCTGAAAGAGCAGGAAACGGTGCAAAATGCTATGTGCATGTGAATAGTAAGGTACCATCTCTATTGCAAACCAGCGTGGTAATTTTTGCCTGCAGATGTCAATCATGTAAGCTGGAGTGAAATTGGTATTTGTGGAGAGAAACATGAGGCACTTGGAGGTGAGAGCCCAAATTCCAAGACATTCTGCTGGTCTGGAAGACTGGGAAAATTCAGCCCTTTGTGCCAAACTTTCTCCCACTTTGAGTAACAGCCACTGTTACGTTCCTCGTGTTGACTGTGCTGCTGAAACCATTGCACAAGTAAATCATCATGTGTGGGAAGCTCAGGAAGCAACACTTGCAGCAAGACTGGAAGGATAAAGCATAAAATCAAATCTTAAAACTGGTTAGCCCCGTTCTGATCTAATTTGTCTGATACAGTGTTTGATGAGTCTGGTGTCATGCTTTAACCAGTCAGCAAACTGAGTACCACGCAGCCTCTCATGCACCATGCCTCAACCCCTCTCTGGGATGGGGAGGAGAACCTGAAAAAGGTAAAACCTGTGGGTTGAGATAAGAACAGTTTAATAATTGAAAAAAAAGTAAAATATCATCATCATGAAATCATAGTAAGGAAAATGGAGATAACCAAAAGAGAAAAAGGAATAAAACCCAAGATGAATGAGTGCTGCACAATATAACTGGTCACTACCCACCAACACATGCCCAGGCCTGCCCTGAGTAGTGATCAGCCCCTCTCAGCTGACTCCCCTGGTTTATATACTGATCATGTCCTTCAGTGCTGTGGGATATCCCTTTGGCCAGGCCAGGTCAGCTGTCCTGGCCATGCTCCCTCCCAGCTTCTTGTGCACCTTCTCACTAGCAGAGCATGGGAGACTGAAAAGTCCTTGACTTAAGCATTATTTAGCAACAACTGAAACATCAGTGTGTTGTCAAGATAAGTCTCATACTAAATCCAAACACAAGCACTGTACCAGCTACTAGAAAAAAAATTATCCCGTTATCCCAGCTGAAAACAGAACATATGGTGATGGCTGATGGAGAGAAGCCCTACACAGAATAGAGAGCTGCAGTACCTCTTAACATGTAGGTTTTGTTTCCAGGCTGCAAAATTCTCATTCTTCCTTCAGTTCCTCCTTAAGCAACCAAAAAGCCTGAAGAAGACAACACCAGATTAAAGTTTCCAGAAGGAAACTCCATGTCCAGTGGTTCTTGATGGTCCTTCAATAGCTTCACCCAGATGTATCTGACAGCACAGAATTAACAGTGATTAAACAAGAAGAGACATATATACTGCTTTACGGTTTATCTGATTTATTTACAGATTTTAAATAAATATTTCTATCTCTAATTAGCAAATTTAGAAAAGCATCTCCCCCTTCTTTTCAGACATGTTTGTCAACTGATTCCTATTATGTTTATTTGTGTATGTGTTTTATGTGTTTGCCCATGTGGTTCCCCTTGTGTGCCACCTACTGATTTCTAGCTGTGTGTATCTCATCTTCAGACAGTTTAATGCTCTACAAGTTGGCTTGATTGTCTAGGAACTACTGAAGTACATGCTGTCAATAGTGTCTTCTCATATTCTGGGTAAGTATGTGCTGCCAGAAAAAAATGACAGTGGCTTTAAGGATGCAGAAAGGTAGGCAAGTTGAGAGAAGATCATTTAATCACATGGAGAATCATATTTAATGTAGTGCTTTGTGTATCTGTAGGAATATCTTTTTTTAGAAATCAGGCCATATGCTACTTCATTTTTCTTCATTATTATTAATAGTGCTTTTTTATTTGCTTTTAATTTGTTTTTCTTGTCTCTGTCTCCATTTTTCTGAATAATGGAGTAATGGTTCTATGCCAGTACATAAAATATGCAGCAAGACATCGCCTGTTACATTACTGTCTGGCTTTTACCCCTAGAAAGCTTGAGGAATTCACATAATCTATGTAGGCAGGGAAGTGCCATTATCTGTATTTTACAGTCAGAGAATTAAATCCAAAGAGAACAGCCAGACTACATGGAGGCTAAACTACAGCTCAACTGCACATCATGCCTTTCCTCCCAACTGGGAAAATCTGGCTGCACCAAAGTAGAGGCCACCTGTGTGCTGGGATGGTGCTGACATGGGCTTAGGGATGCAGGAAGCAAGTTTGAAGTTTAAGGTCCAGAGAACACCAGTGTGATATTAGGGACACAAAGAAATATTTTTTAAAAAGATAGGATTTTCAGTGGCCTAAAGAACAATGATCTAACCTGACATCCTTTGCAACCACAGAGAATTTTACTGCTGGCTTCACTGGGAGAAGACTAATCTAGGCTTTGAAAACACTACTCACTTTGGCATTTGAGCAGTGCATAGGAGATC